CAATTCACATAATTAACTCTCTAATGTGTTAAGTACTAAAGAAGTACTAAGCATAACATACGAAGTTTTCTGCTCTTTGAAACTGCTGGATTAAAATAAATGTAAACCCTGACTGTATACATTTAATCAAAAATTATATGGTACATTTAAAACCGGTAAATTTAGCCCTGGCTGGTGTGGCTCAGTGGATTGAGTGCCGGCCTGTGAACCAGAAGGTCAGGGCACATGCCTGGGTTGCAGGCTGGGTCCCTGGTGGGGAATGTGCGAGAGGCAACTACACATTGATTTCTCTCTTCCTCTCCCCCTCCCTTCCCTTCTAAGAATAAATAATCTTTTTAAAAAAAAAGGTAAGCTGAATTTTATGTAAACGGTATCCCAATAAGGCTGATTTATTTATTTTTAGAGAGGGGGAAGGGAGAGAGAGGGAAACATCAATGTGTGAGAGATACATAGGTGGTTGCCTCTCCCAAGCTCCCAGCTGGGTATCTAGCCCCAACCCAGGCATGTGCCCTGATTGGGAATTGAAAAAGTGAGCTTCAGCTTCGCAGGACAGCACTCAATCCACTGGGCCACACCAGCCAGGGATAAACTTATTTTCTTCTAAATAGTTAATTTTACCATCTTTTGATCTGCCTTTTCTACCAAAATGAAATGTCATCTTTATCATATAAACGTTCATGTGTGCTTGATCTATTCCGAACTCTTCCTGTCTTACGCATTCCAATGTACATTCTTCTACGCTCTTTGGAATGTCCTTCATTCCCCAAACCCTCCATCTTGTAGGGGTTATTCTAACTGGTCATCAAAACGCTTTCCCCTTCTGCATGAGAATTTGACCTTTCTTTAAATTTGTTTCTCTGGCACCCTGATAATGACAGTATGCCAATTCCACATTTGCTTGTGGTAAAAATGACTTGCTGAATTGCCTCACGACTAGAAGAAACTACCTGATGGGGCACCATACCTTGAAGGCTCCAACTGCAGTGACGTAACTAGCTACGCCTTCTGTGAACTTTGGAAGCTATGCTTATGGAGCTGTTAGGAGAGACATTGGGTACCGATGCATAATCTTATGCCAGGTGACTCCTGCACTTCCGCAATGAGGATTACATCTCCTTGTACCTACTTAGCACTGCTGTGTGCACTGCTCCAAGGACTCCTGAGGAATGCCGGGTGCTGCATGCTGCTTCCCATCTTGTATTTTTCTAAGTGAGTATGATGCTAAACGTGGACTTAAATGTAATTTCCGAAGTCTGAATATTTGCTGGAGTTTAAGACAACACCTTGATGGATGTAGTATAGCATTCTAATTGGAACTCCATTACATGTATATATACATTTGGGGTATGGATTGGAGTTTTTGTAGTATTTGATGTTCCCACTCAGTAATGCACATAAATGGACTGCAAATCCATGTATACCAGACTACAAATGTTTCTAGTTTCTTCATTTGATTCTTGCACTTATTAAGTTTATGGTACTTCGAGAAATGTAAACCACAAATAACCCTGAGAAAGCAGAGCATAAAAACAATATAAAAATTGTAACTGTATTAAAAGTTCAATTATAAATACATGTATACCTTTACAAAGAGGTTAGTGAAAATTTTTAATGTTCAGTACTTGAAAATTCATGTCTCATTTAAAAAAACATTCCTATTTGATTTTTCTGCACTTGATTTTATAAATATCAAATACAACATTTACCTGGTATTAAGGATCTGTTCCATACAAATGAATTTACAAGGTGACTTAAGCACCAATACTTTTATAATTATATTAAATTGCCATTTCTCTTCCTTAACAGATTTAAAAGTGATTCTTCATCCTTTTTCCTTTTCTTTTTTCAGGGTCATCATGATTGAATGTATTTTCAGCCTAGACTTCTGTCATATTCCTTTTATACTTCAACTCTTTAACTTCATGGAACTTTCTGATTGGGACTTTAAGGTGATGGGCTCTACCAATCATTTCCCCATGTTACTGTCCTCATTCATCCATTTAGACAAGTGTTAATTGGATATTCATTTACTCCATACCAGGGTCTGTTCCAGGAACCAGTGATGCAGCCTTCACAAAGCGAGCAATTACCTCATTGGTTACCTAGTAGCCACTTTGCAAGGTTCAAACCACAGAACACAAGTGAGAAATAGTACTGTTAGATTATGTGTGGATCTTCATTTTAGGGAACTTTTTTTTGCTTTGTGTGTGCCAGACATAAAATTTACCATTTTTAAGTGCACAGATCTGTAACAGAAGTACATTCATTGTGCAACCATTACCATCCCATTTTTTCATCTTCTCCAACTTAAACTCTACAAATTACATGCTAACTCCCCATTCTCTTTAGTACTTTTTCTAAATTAAAGTGCTGAGAGCCATACTGTCCTAAAACTTTGGGCCTTCAATTACCCATGTGTTAATGCTCATCTCTGAGGGGAGCAGTCTATTTAGGCCCTCTCTCTCTCTCTCTCTCGAGTTTTGGTCAATTTTTTCAACATTATCCCCAACTCATTATTAAAATATATTACATTTCCTGTATGGAGAAGCCTCTCAAATTTACACACACACAAAATGCAGTATTTGTAGAAGTCTTAAAATTCTGCCATGAAAGTCTATTCCTGGATTAAATTACCATCAGAGATACCTGCCTAGACTCACATCACAGTATCAGGGTGAGGGTTCGACTGGTTTCAGAGTTAAGCAACCATTTTCTTTTTAACCTCTGAACACCATGCAGGGTGTCCCTATTGGTTAGCCTTCTTGGGGTCAATTACCAAAGTTAAGTGTCGGGCAGAATTAGTCAAACAGAATGCCAGACTATGTATGTTATTTCTTTGTACTACCATGTGGTCCCCCCCATCCCAGTTCCATTAGTTTTATTTCGCCATATTGTTTTGAGAACTGTTAACCTCACTTACATTTTGAAGTAATTTTGTGGTGTAACTCAAGAGCCTAGCTTATATTCCTTTAGTAAAATCCGAACACCTTTGGCTTCAAGAAAAGATCTCCTTTTCATAAATTGTTAGTGGGAACTTGAAATTAACAAAACCTGGTATTCCATTTATGTGTTACTTGCTTTCTTGAAAGTTACTTGGGCCTTTCTTGTTTTCTATATTCCTTAGTCCCCATTGATGGTGTTTCTTACCTTAACCATTTCATTTTGCATAATACAAAAATGCACTGATTTTGACAATTTAATCCACTCAATTCCAAACTCATTAGGTGGGAAAAAGGAAATTCACAACCTAAAGAATTAAGTTTGGCATCAGGGTATGCATGTTTTGAATAAACCTTTATTTTACATTACAAATAAGACTTTTAACGCCACAATGAAGCAACATGTATTTATTCTTCATAGTTTCAAGGTGCTAGGAAATTCAAATGTTCTAAGTGACATCCTAAAAACCAGGCAGCCAGGAAAAATTGTATTTCTTGAATCCATGGATAATGTCCGTAACAGGTTTTTTCCTCAGAGGTATGCATAATGTTCCTGAATTTGTATGTAAAATTGTTCTATTTTCTCCAAGTTCCTCTCCAGACTACCTCACAAGGTAACTAATTCGATTTTCTAATAGTAACTCACTATTAGAAAACTGGTGCATGTTCTTACAGATTTTATTCTATGCAAAAAAATAATTAAAAACCCAAATATCTGTACAAATTGTTTTATAGGTGCACTTTTTCTAGGAAGACAGATTGAATGTTTTTTCCAGATTTTTAAGGGCTCCATAACCCAAAAAAGAACCATTATTGCAAGGAGTTAGAAATAAGTTTTTATCTTTAATCAGTTGAAAAAATTTTTTCCACTTTAACATAGGTAACAGAAAAGCCCCGAAATACCTTTTATTTCTATGTTGCACATCCATGCAATGTAGCACATCTAGTCTTTAAGCCTTATATCCATCGCTCCGCGACATTATACCCACACGCCCACTTCTGAGAGCAGTTGCTTTCTATAAGACTTGCCTCCACTGATGAAACCACACCTCCCAACCTCCTCCCCTCCCCAGCAAAGCCCAGCTCTTAATGTTTATCACCGTTGTCTTCTCCAACATTCCAGGTATTATTCTGCCTCATAAGGCCATTACACTTGCTATTCCTTACACCTCACAGTCTTCTTCCCGATATCTACAAGGCTCCCTTTCCTTTCATTCTTCAGATTTTACTCTAATTTCATCTACTCAGGGAAAACTTCAAAGAATGCCCTATTTAAACTTGAATTCCCCACTTACTTTCCTGTTCTCTTTCCACAGATGTGTACGTTAACACATTATGTTTATGATCTCTTCATAAGGTTATTTTCTTCCAAATTGTGGCTATTTCCACTTTCTGTTGATATACTGCTTAAATTTTAAAGTATCCCCATAGCAACAGGTTAATATTCTCTTTAGGGCAATGAATCCTATTTTTTTAATAGCACGGCTTAAGAACAAAAGCCCTCCAGGGACCAACAACTGCTTTTTTCTTTCATTAGCCTTTATTGGTGATTTTTTTAAAAAGACATTTAAAAAAGTCAGCTTTTCAATTAGGATGTCTGACGTACTTCAATCCCATAGATCCCCTATTACACAGATCATAATAATCTAATTTTATATCTGCTTTAAGGGAGAAAACAAAGGAGCTCATGCTCCTATACCTTCTCACCAAGGCCACCTAAAACATCAGCCATCTCTTGGCTAAAACACGCCCCCCCCTTAATATTACAGTATAGTCTAAGTGTGTTTCCTACTAGAATGTGGGCTTTTTGAAGACATGAACCATTTTATCTTTCCTTCAGCATCGTGCTTGATAAGGAATACTCTCAATATTTACAACCTGGTCAAAAAAAAAACCCGTGAATAAAACAAAGGTTTTTAAAGGCTGAATAAGAGACAAGGGTTACATTTAGGTATAAGCAAAAAAAAAAGTTAGGAAAAACAAAGGAATAGTTCCCAAATCAATCCAGTTATATTTTCCCATTGCAACACAATAAAGAGACAGTTCCATTTTCAAAGAAATTAACTTTTATTTGAAAGGAGACTACTTTCCCTCATACATAACCCACTAAGGATTCTATGCTATACAATAGCCTGCTTAACCAATGTCCCAATACCAAAATTTCTAACAGCAAAGTATACAACTGCTCTAAGTAATAAATAATAAGGGCTGTCCTTCACTGATTAAAGGAATACTTAAACTTCAATAAATTCAACACAAAAATCACACTTTAAGTTTGTTAAATTTTAACAAATGTATTTTAAATACATGTTTTATAGAAGTACACAAGCTTTCCATCTCTAAAGAAACGATGTAATTTTTAAGGTTCAAATTTTCCGTATCTCAAAAGAAATGACCAAGCGTTTTCTCTTACAGCTTCAAACTTTCTACACTCAACTATTTGACTGCTCCATGCCACCCCAGACAAACTTGACATGACTGAACTACTTTGTGTGTTACTACCTTCCCCAAAAGTAAATTGAAAAAGGAGTTTGTTTTAAATGCAGATTTCTAATACAATGTCTAATATAGTATCTAACACAAAAGAAGCTTTAAAAAGATCACTTCTTTCTTCTTTTGATTAGCCTGGAATTAATTTTCTATAAAAGCAACCTTAAAAAAAAAATCATTTACAAAGCGTAACACTAGGGGTTCCTTTTTTACTCAAGATGTTTAACTACTCAAAATGACAACAATCACATCTTTAAGAGTATAATAAAAGGGGTGGAAAACAGCAATACAATTGACAAAGTGTAGATGCTAAAGAAACCAAAGATTTTTTAAGGGTTCTTTTTAAGAAGTAGGAAGGGTTAGAAGCTTAGGGAAATCCAGAATTAAACAACAAAAGAGAAAGAGAAAAAGATATCCTTAATTGCAACCATTCTCTTTATCAGTAGCGTCCTGAAAGAGAAAAAAAAAATAAAAAGTTACAATTAGAGTTTGATTTGCCTATTATGTTTCCAACTATTAACACTTACCATGTATCCTAATATCCTAAAGTCAACCATTAGTTAGAAATGAGGTTCTTAATGCTGAAAAACACAAGACTACGTACTTGGGCTGTAGGAACGAGATCTTGATCGTGATCTGTAGCGACTATAGTAAGGAGAAGGTGATCTTCTTCTGTAGGAAACAAAAAATTACTTAGCACACTCATAATCAAGCCACTGAGGCAGATGAAAATAAAAATTCCCCATCATTCAAAGTAATAAACCCTCCCTGTGGTGTGGCTCAGCGGAATGAATGCCGGCCTATGAACCAAAGAGTCACTGGTTCAATTCCCAGTCAGGGCACATGCCTGTGTTGCAGGCCAGGTCCCCAGTTGAGGGCGTTTGAGAGGCAACAGATGGATGTATCTCACACACAGTGATGTTTTTCCTCCCTCTCTTGCCCTCCTTTCTCCTGTCTCTAAAGATAGATAAATGAAATCTTTTTAAAAAATTGAAAATAAATAAAAAGACTGTACTTTCCCCAATGTTTAAAAAAACAAAAACAAAAACGAACCCAAGACGGTAACTATTAAGTTCTCTGTGTGCCAATGATACTAAAATGGTAAGTATGTGGCACAAAAAAATATTGGCCAAGTATAGATAATTAACCTCTGTCCTCAGTCTTGAGAAAATCATTTTTTCCTACTTTTTAAAGACAGCATCATATAAAAATCCTTTCAATATTTTTATTAATACATATCAAACATAAATGCAAAGTGCCAAATATTTCTACCACCAGCTAATTTAGAACAGAAACCACAAGTTAGAACATTACCTGTACCGGTAGTCATAGTCCTCGTATCTGTCATAACCACGCTCATATCCTCTATCATAGTAGGAATCTCGACGTCTGCCACCTCCTCCGCCTCCACCACCGCCTCCGCCTCCACCACCGCCACTACTACAAAAAAGTAAAAATTTTACATCAATGTGAATGATTATTTTCTAGTATCATTTAATACAAAAGAGTACTTAAGTAAAATAAAATGGAGGAAGAAAGTGAGATATGGGAGAAAAAATAACCCTTATATGCCAATTACATCCATGTCTTAAGTTTGCTACCACCAATGGTGTTTTCCTTTGACTTCTTAGTCATTACATAAATAACCAAAAAAGATTTCACAGAATTCTCCTAACTATAAACTGCTCTCCTATTAATGCATACCTAAGTCAGCAGGACATTCTCAACAAGGTGAAATGAACTGTGCTGGGAAACAATACCAAAATGCTAAGATGTGTGTCATGAAGACTAATTCAAAGCAATTTAAAAACATCAAGAATTTTAAAAGGCCCCATTTGTGTTATACATAATATGAAAGCTGTTTGTTTTTTTTCTTAAACAAATGCTAGTATCAGTAAAACCCTTCCCTATACACAGAAGCTTCCCAGGTCACATAAAAATACAAAGAAATACTTTCTTAAAAAAATTTTTTTTCTACTATATAGTGATTTTTCTATTTGTGTAGTATCAAGAACCGGCAATGCACTTCAATAGTTTTCATTTATCCCCATGCTGATAATTTACGTACATAAATGCAGTTGACCCTTGAACTATATGGGTTTATTATTTTTTAATCCTCACCCAAGACATGCTCACCAATTTCAGAGAGAGGAGAAAAGAGGGAGAGATAGGGGGAGAGGGGAGGGAAGGGAGAGGGAGAAGAGGAAACACTGTCTGGTTGCCTCTCACATGTGCCCTGACCAGGACAGAGCCTGCATGTAGCTATGTGTCCTGACTGGAAATTGAACCGCTGCCTATTAGCTTACAGAGACACTCCAATCAAGTGAGCCACACCGGCCAGGGCTGTATTGGGTCTCTTAATCTATATATCTGCCCTCCCACCCCAATATATACCTGTACTGTTTTCAATCAATGTTTGGGAGTCTGTGAATGCAGAGGGTCATAGAGTCTATGCCATTTTACATAGGGAACTTAAGATCCACAAATTTTGGTATTTGTGGGGGTCTTAGAACTAGTTCCTGGTGGTATACTAAGGAAAAACTGAGTTTTGGGGTCAAAAGCTTTACATGGACTTTTGACTACACAGGAGTTGGGGCCCCTAATCCCCATATTGTTCAAGGGTCAACTGTATACATAAAGAAGTGAAGAAATAAATGATTCAAAGAATGTATACAAATTAAATACATTTCCATTTCAATTATACAAAAAATTTTATCTTTTGACTAATCCAAATTCTGTAGACATTTCTGATAGGCTTCTGGTTACAGCAGTTTAGCTTAGGAAACTCGAAATCTTACTGAGTTGGTCTGCCCATGTAGATGCCTGGTGTAGGTGTATGTGCTCTCTTGGTGATAGAATAATCCACACGAATTCTTCTACCATCCAGCTCCATTCCATTTGCCCTTTCCATAGCCTTTAAAGAAGCAGCACAGAAAGTCATGCGTAGTTCACCCAGGAGACATTACCAAAACTGTAATGAATTAAAATTCTCGAAACAGTTTTCTTCAAACAACAGGAGGTAGATTTTTACAAATTAATCCTTGTATATGCATGTCAATTGCATTGAGCATTCTAATGTACATATGGACACATGCAGGCCTATGCTTAATGACTGGGGACAGCCAGAGCCATGGAGAAGGAACTAAAGGACTCAGGTGAGCCTGGATAACGGAGGCTGCAGTAACTAATTTCGGTCCGGGCAACTCAAAGCAGAAACTGCAATTCAACTGTCAAGTCTAAACTAGTGAAGCCAGCCCTCAGGAACACACCGCCACCCAGTGGACTGCAAATATAAAGTAACCTCTATGCCTGTCAATAAGTGCGCCTATCTTTAACCTGCATTTTGCATTGCCTATCACATTGACTTTTGACACTAATACCACTAAATGCAGTAATAATTCAACTACTTTAACGAATTTGCATGAAGTTCTTTGGAACTAAGTAAAGTTGCTATTTTCATTTTATTTTACCCAGAAATAAACCTGGGGGAAGAAGAATCAAGAGATAGGACAAAAATTGTGATACTGCTCACACTTTTCAACGTTCACTTCAAGTCAGATCTTGGTATTCCTAAATTTATAACTTTACCCCTTAATTGAGAACAGGAATAAGCAAGAGACAAATATAGTAGCCCTGTACCTCTCCCTTGCAGTTTCAGTTGTCCAACCAGGAGACAAAATGGAAAATTCCAGAAATAAATAATTCATGAGTTTTAATTTGTGCGCTGCCCCTCCCAGGACGTAAGTCATCCGGGTCCAGCATACCCACACTGTATGAGCTATTTCTCCCCACCTCCACTGGTCACATCACAGAAGTCCCAGTTGTCTCTACTGTCACAGTATCTCAGTACCTGTGTTCAAGTCACCCCTATGTGGCCCCAAAGCACTAGAACAGCAATGCTGGAAATTCAGACATGCCAAAGAAAAGCTGTAAAAAGTGCTTCTTTTAAGTGAAAAATATGGTACTGTTCACAGTTTAGGGATCAACTAGGGGTCTTGGAACATATCCCCTGTAGATAAGGGAGATAAGGGGGGGCGAGCATAAATAAATAAAGTAAGTAAGTAAGTTAATACTGGCAAAACATTAGAATGGCTATTGCATAAAAGACTTACAACCTGCAGTATTACAGACTTATCTAGGTTTCAACCTCAGTATTGTCAACATTTTGGGACTGCTAGTTCTCCGCTGTGGGTGGCTATCCTGCGCACCATAGGACGCTTAATATCATCCCCAGTGTCTATCTACTACATGCCAATAGCCTCTATTATTTTTAAAAGACATGCTAACATTTATTATGATTGCTTATGTTGCAATGAAGCACAGGTGATGCATACAGCAATAATACATATCCAACTACTGTCACAAGTAAAATGGTACAATAAATGCTAGTACTTGTCATTTATTAAGGTTTGATAAAACCTTAACAATGAGCTTCAAATTCCTTAGAGTGGTGTTTTCTAATTCAATAACTTAACTTTTAGCATTGAGAAAGCAAGCCTACTGGTTCCTTTACAATCCAATACTTATTACATTGAATAGCACCATTTCAGACCCTTCTGTTGACAAACTAAGAATGGCACCAAACAGGCCCCCACGCAGCGGCTCAGATGGTTAGAGCGTCATCCCACACACACCAATGCTGTGGGCTGGATCCCCGGGCAGGGCACGTAAAAGAATCAACCAATGAATGTTTACGTAGAACAAATTGATGTTTCCCTGGCTCCCTCCCTAAATTCAGCCAATCAGTAAATAAAAGAATGGCACCAAAAATTTAACAGCACTACTTCATATATTGTTTTTCAGTAATAGAACAGAATGATAGATGAATATTAAGAGTAGAAAAAACAAAGTTTTGTATGTATACATGGGGAGCTAATTAGACATTAAAATTAAACAGATTAAACTTAAAACACTGTAAATTCTAAAAAGTCAACAGAATCACCTGCTTGGGGTATAGGTAAAGCTTATTCAAAAGAAACGCACACTTCACTTTTTCCATTAACTCAAACATATACATCTCACTTTACAAGGCCAGATTTCGATAAGAATATGCCTATATCATAAAGTATTAGCTGGAATGTGAAACTGGCCATTCTAATTTTAACACTAAGATGCAGAGTTTGAATCAGGTCAAGAATGAAAGAGGGCCCTGGCTGCTGTGACTTAGTGGACTAAGTGCCGGCCTTCCAACCAAAAGGTCCCTGGTTGGATTCCCAGTCAGGGCACATGCCTGGGTTGCTGAGGCCCCCAGTAGGGGGCCCGCGAGGGGCAACTACACTTTGATATTTCTCTCCCTCTTTCTCTCTCCCTTCCCCTCTGTCTAAAAATAAATCAGTAAAATTAAAAAAAAAAAAGTTTAAAAAACAAACAAACAAACAAACAAAAAGAATGAGAGAGGACATAATGTTTATGGAACTGGGAGTCTATTAATCAACTTTTAATAGCAACTCAATACTATAACCATGCATATCAGAAAATGTTCAAAATCACAACTATAAAAACAAAACTACCTCCTTTGAGTCATCTATTCTCTCAAAATATACAAAAGCAAATCCTCGTGATCGTCCAGTTCGCTGATCATAAACCACATTGACACCACTCAATGGTCCATATCGAGAAAATACTTCACGAAGATCTCTTTCTGTTGTGTACAAACTGAGGCCAAACACTCCAAGGCAAGTGTTGGGGTCTGGATTTGCCTGCAGGATAAAAAAGGATGTCATTTAATTTTAACCTCCAAATTAAAATGAATATTAAAACACAGAAATACTTTGCTTAAAACACCTCACCCAATACCCAAAGACCATATTGTTTCAAGAGACTTGGAAATAATTTAAGAGGGGGAAATACAGATGAGTTATGTCTTACAGGTCAAAATATATTTCTTTGGAATATACTTCAGGTTGTAGCCTGAATAAAAACAAGCCTATTTTCAATGCCCTAGCCAGTGCGGCTATGTTGGTTGGGTGTCATCTCTCAAAGCAAGAGGTCAAGAGTTCAATTCCAGGTCCAACTGATGGTTCTCTCTCACACTGATGTTTCTCTCCCTACTTCTCTCTCATTAATTTATAATAAACAAAACTTTATTTATTTATAAGGAAATTGAGTCTTGTTTTAAAGATTTTATTTATTTTTAGAGAGAGTGGAAAGGAGGGAAACCTCAATGTGGGTGAGAAACATTCTCTGGTTGCCTCTTGCACACCCCCGAACAGGGGATCTGGCCCCCAACCCGGGCTTGTGCCCTGACCGGAAACGAAGTGGTGACCTTTTGTTTTGTAGGATGATGCCTATACTGAGCTATATAGGTCAGCCTTGCTCTTTCTCTCCCCAACTTCCCCATTCTCTAAAAAGAAATGAAATGAACAAAGGAAGAAAGAAGGCCTTGTTGGGGAGTGGGGCGAGACCAATCCTACCTTCTAGCCCAACAATTTCCAGAATATACTAAGATTACATCCTTAGTTTAATGCCATATTTCTAGTTTATGCAAATGTTTTACATCCTTTATAGATGTGTACTTACTCTGACTTCACCTGCAACTGCTGCTAAGAACCCCCTGCCCCCATTTTCATTCCTTAGCAGATTCCACCGGAGTTAAATGACGCAGTATAACATGGGAGAAGTGCAGCATAGTAATTAAACACAGGAACATTAGGGTCGAGAGTCTGACTGAAACCTAGGCTCCCGACAGTTACCAAAAATAAACTTCAATGCCACACATTCAAGATTCAATTTTGCTGCCCTGATGGGTGTGGCTCAGTGGACTGAGTATCATCCTGCAAACCGAAAGGTCGCAGTTCAATTCCCAGTCAGGTCACATGCCTAGGTTTCAGGCCAGGTCACCAGTTGGGGGCGTGTCAGAGGCCACAGATTAGTATTTCTCTCCCTTTCTCCCTCCCACCCCCCCTCTAAAAACAAATAAAATATTTAGGAAAAGAAAAGACTCCATTTCTTTACCCATAACACAGTAACTTGCCTCACACACGTGCAGAGTATTAAACATATTGAAGAACTCTGCACAGTGCTCATACTATGAATACTAGCCATTTCTACAGTGTTTACTTGCTGTCCACCCCCACAACCGTCATAGAACCTTTTACCTCAATATTCTCAACTCAGTTTATGCCTTTCATTTTAATTCTTGGAACATATCATTTCTCCCCAAAGTTCATATCTTTTAACTACTCAAAGTCAAGAAAAGGAAATATACTTAAATGTATATTAAGTAATGTCCACACCCTCAAGGATGATTCTTGAGTACTACTTTTTAAACAATGGCCTGGTTCTCATAAAGCAACATACTATGCCATAGGACTAAACACGAAAGAAATACAAAGTTTTCATTAACTTTTAAAAACCACATACCCTGCTGCCTGTATGTCTTCTCCGGTTAGACATTGGAGAATGACTTCGGCTCCTTCGACGTCGGTATTCTGGTGTATAGGACCTGCTTCGAGATCGCCTCCTGTGAGAGTGAGAATGGGATCTGGATCGAGTGTAACGCCTATGAGAATGCCTCCTCGACCTTGACCTTAGAGAGAAAAAAATTTAGGCAACACTGAAACAAATGGCTAATGCCAAGGACCTATTCATATAATCCTTGCTTATTCTCAGCTCCTTTCTGTGGAAACGGTAGTTTTCCTCTTGTTCCCTTAATCATTAGTCTCCTTGTTCTCAGTCTGTCTCTCCTACATCCACTTTTTGCCTTACCTTACAAGCACGTTAAGGCCCTACTTCCTTTAAAAAACAAAATCAAAACCCAACTACCACTAAGAAGGAAATTCTGCAGCATTCAACAGATGAAACTTGAGGGCACTACGGTAAATGAAATAAGTCAGTCACAAGGAAACAAATGCTGTATGATTCCACTTACATAAGGTACTTAGCAGTCAAAATCATGAAGGCCAAGTGAAATGGTCGTTGCCAGGGGATGGGAGAAGGGGAAAATGGCAAATCTTTGTTTAATGGGTATAGTTTCAGTTTTACAAGAGATGAAGAGTTATGAGGATGGATAATAGTGATGGTTGCACAACAGTGTGAATGTAGGTAATACCACTGAGCTATACATTTTAAAATGGTTAAGATTTTTATGTGTATTTTACCATAAAAAAGACAAAACATTACAATCATTTCGTTAATCACTTATCATCACCTCCAAAAGAACGCTGTATTCCCTTCACTGTTAAGTATCATTTCCTTTCCCATCTTTAGTCTGCTGCAATCTAGCACCTACTACATTCATTCACCAACCCAAATGCCCTTCTCATCTAATAGTTTTCATCAAGCTTTTACAGCATCTCACCCATCTCTCCACTACTGATTCCTAGTTCATTTCCTGTGTGAGTATTTCCAGTCAATCTCATAGTCCTCTTTCTTTCCCTATTAATGAAACAATTTCTACTATTCATATGACCCCTCCTTAACTAAACACCCAGACCACTAGTGATGATAGTCATACAAAATAACTCCTATAAGGCATTCAATAAATGTTATAAATACCAAGGGCCAGAAAGTTTAAAAAGAGAGCATGTGGGTGTAGGACTAAAACTAAAGAAGGAAGACTATTCAAAACAAAGAAGGCTAACAATAAGACCAGGACACTTAACAGACTTTACAAGATAAATGGGGGAAGGTGTCCTAGGAATCGCAAGAGCAAAGGTTCCTCGACATGGACACATGATCATAAAACTGCAGAACAGTACAATCTACAAGGAATTAATGAGAGTGAAGATTAGGAAAGGATCGAGACAACACTGTATAAAAGCTTGAGTATCAAGCCAAGAGTATACATTTACTGAAAGAAGCAAACAAAGTTTTCTTTTTTTAAAAAGATGTTTATTTTTTTCTAGAGAGAGGGGGAAGAGAGGAAGAAAGAGAGGGAGTGAAACAGCCATGTGTGAGAGAAACACTGATTGGTTGCCTCTCACACTCTGCCAACTGGGGACCTGGCCTGCAACCCAGCCATGTTCCCTGACCAGGAATGGAATCAGTGACCTTTCAGTTCACAGGCCTGTGCTCAACCCACTAGGCCACATCAGCCAGGGCAACAAAAGCTTCTAAGTAGGAACGAAATAAAATAAGTAGCCTACTATCTAAAAGAAATTAATCATTAAGGGGTGGGATGTGCTATGTATGTATTAAGAAAACGTGTTTGTGCAAGAATACCGAACAGAGTATCTCCCATTTTCCTCAGCACTAACGTAGAGCCTCAATTTAAGGGATAAAAAGTTTCTGTTATTTAATTTTTCAGATGATACAGGAGCAGAGAAGTGAATCAAGTGATAAGAGAATATCTGAGGGAAAAGAATTCTAGGTTGAGGTCAACAAATGCTAAGGACTTTAAATGAAAACACATTCATTTCTGTTTCTATACCCAAATTCCATTCAGTGCTATTCTGCATATGTAGATTTAATTAGAGTGGTTAGTAAATCAAGGACTGGGATGGATACAATAGAGAAAAAGACATAGCTGTAGATCTCAGTGAAAGTAGTCTTTTCACTAATTCTTCTGTCTCATGCCTCCCTGAAAGACGACCCTATTCAAAAACATAAATTCTCTCTAACCAAAAGATTAAAAGGACTTATCAAACTAACTGTTTGCCCTCACCCAGCACACCTGGGACATCTGATATAGTGAACCCTACAGTGGCTACTAGAGCATTTGTTGAGCGGGTAGTGGCAGGGGCTCTCTCACCCAGGAATCCTCTCCCCACTCCCCCAATTACATCTGACCAGAGTTCCACCCTGGACCTAAATCAGAATATTCAGGTAAAGAATGTAGCTGGAATGTGAATTGTGAAAAAGCATCTCACATCATTTTGATAACCAATAGAACATATATACATACATACATACATCAACTTTCTCTGCACTAAATTACATGCCAAGTCTCCAACGTAGAAAACTACCTTTTTTGTTGTGCAAATATTATTGAAGTAAAATCAAACACAAATGATCAAATAACAAGCACATTTAAATCAAGTGACATTTAATTTGTTTTAACAGCCAGTTAGTATCTGATAGATTGTGCTTAGAGATAATTCTACCTCATCTACATCTTTATCTAGAATTATTCATTTCTAAAATCTGTATGTAAACTACATATGTAGTTTGAGAAAACGTCGATTTTCAATCTTTGGTGAAATGTCTATACAAAATGCTACAAAAATGAGATTTGGCAAAAACCACTTTGCCCTGACAAATCCAAGGAACGCATTTTAAGTATTATTTTAAACGCACATACCTGGATTTTGATCTTGACCGAGAATGAGATTCAGAATGTTTGGAAACCCTTGATGGACTACGAGATCCTGACCTGCTCTCCGATTTTACACGAGCAGGAGTTCCCGTTGGAGATTTTGACTGAGAGCGAGACTCCTAACAAAGAAGACAGTATTACAAATGGCACTGGTCATGTAGATGCCTAACACCTAACATTTAAAGTACCGTAATTATTTATATTGATTGCTCCTGGAAAACAAATGGTTAGGCAACACCCTCCAGAAAAAATTTCAGCTCATTAATAACCCATTGTTAATACTGCTAACTGTCCTCAAAAATTCCCTACTTGAACCAGATCACCAATTCTCTATTAACTAAGTAATCATGCAAATTCATCTACAACTTGATCATACAGACACTGGAACATAAACCATACATTTACTTAACCTAGGACCCATTCATTCTTCCAGATTCTTTTAATTCTACTTCACTCTTGCTTTCTACTTCTCTTCATTCTTCATTGAGTTTTTCATTTTTCATACTTCGTGTATTCTTCCCCAATTCAAACAATTCAAAATAGCCTTAAAAAAATATTCAAGTGCTTCTATCTGACCAATCTTCTGTTCAATTTTTTCCCCCATTCAATTTTAATTTTCTGATCTTTAATACTTTTCATTAGCCTTCTTTTATCTTGATTTATCTTCCACATTCTTGGAAAAAACTCTTCAATTTCTTCACGAACATTAACCTTAATGGAAAAAGAACATTTAGTATATTTAAGCACGTGGGGATTATAAAACTCTGCTGGAGTTCAGAATGTTATCTACCAAATGGAAAAGCCAGCAGGTAAAGTGCAAATAACTAGTTTATTTAAAAAAACAATTTTATAATCTTTAAAATTGTTCAAAAGTCTAATTTCTAAAAATTAAAGATAATTCACTAATTTTTCTAAATGTTTTTACCATATTCTTCACCCTCCTCCCCTTTCATGTTTCATCCTAGTTCCTAAAATGTGAACAATTTTAATATAAATACTTAATTCAAGCATAAATCTAACTTGAACTGTAACCCCCCCGCCTATGTTTTACATTTTCACTAATTTATAACCTGAAGATTCTTAGTGATCTTAAAATAAGCTTTCACTAAGCCATGCCAAGATAGCAAAATATAATTAAAGCAAAGCAGCCTAGCCTGAAATATTTGTATATACCTATCAAAACTCAAACATTACAGGACACACACTGAGGTTCAAAGTAGAAGAAAAAATTATTACAATTACTAACACCTCCCAATTTTGTTTGACCACTATCTTTGTTCACTCTGACTTAACCAGGAAGATATAGTCTAAAGTAAGGCAAGCATTCTGAAAAAAGTAAGGGGAAAAGAGCGCATAAAATTCTTAAATTTTCCCCCAGCTTGTAAATTCCTAATATATGTATTTTTGCAACTGTGCCACTTTTAAATTCTGTATTATTCATGAAGTATCATAATGCACAAAAAAATTATTACAAAATTAATACCATGGTCTTTATTTTGGATCCCACCTCTTTTTGTACAAAGTTTTTGCAGATTTATGCAGTTACATATATTTGTACTCCCTTTAGTGACTATATCCTACACCTGTAAACTGAATGGCTTTGGAAAAAGTTGAATATATGTATATAAAAAACTTTCTAAATGAAATAATTTCAACTGATTAAAAGCCTGTTTTTAAAATTGATAGATACATGAGGCACTTATGACCAAAGTAGAATGGGCAGTTTGGTTTCTCTGTTCTCTTAAGCCTTGATTATTAGTACAAATATTATCCCAATTTCACACCAATTTTCATTTATACCATAAGGCTACCTACCATACAACTTTCTTAAAACTTTCCCTTTACATTTAGTTTAATGTCAAGAACTGTACTGATGCTAAGCATATTTATTTTTTCTGATGAAAACACAACTGAAATATATACCTTTCCTGTTCGATATTAACCTTTCCCATTTAGCCATCTATGTAAGTCCTTCACTACATCTCCCACACTCTGGACAGATGCTTGGAACAGTAACAGCAATTTAGGCACTTTCATTCACTGAAAAACTGTAAAAGCAGCATTCAGTACTTTTTAAAAAAGGGTACAGCTAATGTGCTTGTAATTGCAGTCTCATAGGCTGGTTCACTAACTACGTGGGTAAGAACAGATGGAATACTGTCTATGAACATCACCATAGCTCTTATTATACATACATATCAGAAGGCATTGTGCTCTGTGACACTGTAAGTCCTTTAATTTTATTAGGACAGAAATCAAATCTTATAGTAGTAAAATCCCAAATTTATTCTTAAATGTTTAATGGTCCAAATATATGTGTACATGTGAATTTCAAATCTTTTATAAGCATGACTAATAGTTGAAAATTATTCAGTAGTACTGAATATTGCCTTTTTCTTGGAAGCTAATGTAAACAAGGTAATCAATAACATTTTAAATTTTAAATATAGTGAATTACTGGAAAAATGCTATTTTCCCTTTATTTTTTAACAAAGCTTTAAGACACAACAGTATCTTTTCAAAAGACACTAGCATATTTTAAAAGAAGGCTTGTTTTTTAATTATCCAAGGTGTTACAAAAACCTAATGTCCTCTGTTGCATGCTCTTCAACTTACTACTTTTTGATCAGGGACCCTAAATCTGCATAAATTTCTTCATGGAATAATTCAAGGTTAAGAAACAGTCCTCTTAAATTCTTTAATGTCTACTTTCAAAGTTGTCACTATCAGTTTAAACTCCCAGAACAATTTAGAGATGCAAGATTAAAAAGATAAATCAACCATCAGTAAACTTAACCTAAAGAATAAACTACAAAGAAAAAACAAAAAAAGGTAAACTAAAAAATAAAAATTAGAAAAAAAAACGAAGCATAAAATAACCCTTTAAGTCTTCAGAATTTTTTCCTATTACACCAAAAAAGGCCTGTCGTAAGAAGTAGTTAAACAGTCTTCACACACAGAAATATGATATTAATATTTATCATTTTTAAGCAACTTATTTCTCAAAAGTTGGTATCAAATAAATGTCACTTTCACTGTAGTGTGCATTAGAAACCAGGCTACAATAAGCCTTTATGGACGAATGCTAGATTATCCTTTTCTACCTTTGACTTGTAACCATATCATATCACAAATTTTAATATAAATCTTAAACAGGCTTCCATTCTACCGTAACCACTATAAACCAAAAGCCAGGCAAAAGGTTCTGGCTGTACAACCTTCTTAAATAATGTTTGTTCTTTTATTCTTTTATTTATGCTTTACCATCAAGGTACCTCTGATGGTAGCTGAAGGACACAGTCAAAACTAAAAAAATATTAAGAAAGTTAAGGGTATTCAATAAAGTAGTCTAAGAATCTTTGTTTTCTGTTAAAATACAACTGTATTTTACACACTGAAAATAACCCCAGCAATCACATACTATTCTTTGAATCCGGAAAAAGGGTTATTCAATATATGCATGTTGTTGCAGAATACCAACAACTACTATAGTAAGCAATAACTGCACTTTTTCTTGAAGTGAGTGTATTATAGGTGGGAAAAAATTCCAACTATATATGCTTAGTAGTTAAAAGCCCATTAAAATAAACACATAAACCAATATAAATGCTATGCTATAACCCATCCTATTATATAGCAAGGCAAATTCTATGCCAAGTATTAGTGCCAAGTTTACACAAATTCAAGTCTATATGAATAGAACATAAGCTTTTTAAAACAAACTTCCTCAAAATACATTTTCCCACTACTTTATGAAATTAGATATCTATTGCCACAGAAATACACTAGTGCATTTAGGTAAATTGTGTCAGGGTTGGGCGGAACTTAATTCACCCAAGTAACATTATTCATTGTACTAAGAACTTCACTTTTTAGGATGTATAATAAACCTGTGTTCATTCAATTCTTTAAGTTCAGTCCAGAGAAATAGCAGTTCTGCCTTGTTTGTCTTGAGTATGCTAGGCTGCTGCTTTCACAAACTTGCAGGCTTGTAACAGAAAATACTCCCAGTCTCAACTGTTAATCCCCAACTGCTATTAGAGCATTTCTTAAAAAAGAAAATACCACTTGTTCCTAATATCAGCTATTTTTAAATGATTTCCCTTTAAGGCCATACCTGTATGATGCAATCTGAGTGAGGTTAAAGTGGTTTTTATATCTGCAAAGGCTGAGAGATATTCTAACACTATTATGTGTCTATACCCTGTTATGTTTGGAATAAAATTTTGGGAACACTTAACAAAAATCGGCATTTATACATATATAATCAAATTCATGTCACAAATGTGAAATCACCTGTAAAATTTATTTTATACAGATTTTAAATGTGGCTCATAAGCCTGCCAGCTTATATGCCACGATCAATTGTTATATCCAAAAAGCTAGTGTATAAGTGACAATTTCAAAGGTAAAGTATAGAAAACAAGTTTATAAGAACTAATATGGTTTAGGCATAATAAAAGCCAGTAAATAGCAATTAAAAGCAAACTACTAAAATAAGAACCTGTCACAGAACACTCTACTTATGTTCTCATCTTCTAATATCATGAAATAGTTATGAATCTTGAGTAAGAATACAGGGCCTTAATTTCAAGGAAAAATCCTAACTTTTCCTCTACCTCAGATGGGTTAGGCCTAGTCACTCATACCTTTGTGAAAACCATGAGACAATAAGGCCTATACATAACTGTACGTGGCAGTAACCTAAAGGAGGGAGGGGAACCACGTTTATTTTCATTATTCCCCTCAATTTTCTTTTACAGACATTACTGATTCTTTTCCCCACCTGCTCTTTATTATTTTCTCACCTCCACTTCTGTCATGCTAAATCTGTTAGGACATATGAAAAAGTATCAGTTTTAATTACAAAGGTTCCAGGTTTAGTTGTTTGATGCCAAAGCACCCACTGACACTACAGTTTCCACACTGTCTGGTAAGTTCTAGTAAACTATTATGCTGATTATTATAGCCATTTCACACTTGTTATACCCTAGGTAAGTAATGTTAGTTCATTTACAAAATTAAGTCCATAATGTTTATTTGTATTTTTTAATGGAGCTTAATCTGAAATATTTAAATCTCGATATTCTTTCAGATCCCGACTGTTTTATTCTCTTCTAGAAATGGTACAAATCATCAGCAGCAATGACAAATCTGTAAAATTAGTTATGCACTGTACAATTAGTAGCATTGCTCCTTTTAAAAACCCTACCTTCTACCTGTATTGAGCAAATTAGTACCCTTCAGTGAAAGAATATCAAGTATAAAAACTTGAGTATTAAAATGTTTCCTGAACTTTACAAATTCTTTGTTTAAATGATGGGAGTACTAAAAAAAAAAGCATTAAAATTGGATAATGACAGTACTTATCTTTAGGAAGATAAATTAAACCCAAGACAAATAAGATTGTTTCAAGTTTAATATTGTACAACTCCTACTTTATGAAAGGAAGCCTTATCCTTTTATAATATATTGATGTGATGACAGAGGGAAATTAAATTGAAGAAGCTGAATTGTTTTTTAAAAAAGCTAAAGTGGTAACATTTTTACCTGTAAAATAGGAATTCAATAAACCTATTTCTGTTGTTCAACAAAATATCAACATATAAATTTTAATTCCAAATTGGTACAGATGAATTTTTATTAATTTTTGTTTTGCTCTTCATTTTTATCATCCAGTCAACAATCATATATATTAAGGGGAATTCTATGAGTCTCTTGAAAAAGTAGGAATAAGTTCTAAATAAGGGGGCAAGAATGAATAGCATTTTTCCTCTTAAACTGTATTTGAAGCATAGACAATTGTGGAATTATAAGAATTCCACACAATAAAGAATCAATAACCTCTATTAAAAACACTGGGCCCCACTCTATGAGCACAAAATTGGACTCAATCTTTTTCTAAGTTTCATTAAAATAACCAAGGGAGGAGGGGAATAAAATAAGTGAAATGATAAGAAAAGCTTAATTTCAATCCCCCTTAATTTCTCTAAAGGACACTAACATTTTTTCACATCGAAGCCCTGATTTTAGCTGAAGCTATGGGAAGCAAACAACTCATTCTTTTTATGAGGATGACACATAGAGTCATAGTTCAAGTACCAATCTAACTCCAAGCTCCAAAAGATATTTTCACTTAAAATATTTGTTAACTTGATATACATGTCCCAAGCAAATTGCTTTAATGAATCTATTTATTTTAAAGGAATTATTATTCTCCCAGAGCCCTTAAAAATGCCTCATTCATTCTTGACATGCCACTGATGTCCTGTTTAGACCAGGTTTTTCACACATTTCCTCCCTTAAATATTTCAACTGTGCTCTGCTGCTCTTCCTGTACCCATGTCTCTGTTCTTTGCTAAAACCCCTTTCATTATGCCACTCCTAGAATTAAGAATCCATAGATGGCTCCTTACAGCACATTCATAAATCTACAATTATCTACATAACCCTCCATTATCTGACTGCGTATTTAGTCAAATCTATCACCTCTCACTATTCTAGCAACCTACTCATTTTCACACCCATACAATCAATATTCATTTCCCTCATCATAAAATCCAAAGTTTCACATACTAGGTAAAGCTTTCCCTCTCCTGAGCTCACAGAATTGCTCAGCTCCATTTTCTGAATCCCTTATTAATTCTATCACAGCACCTGATTATACTCACTCTACCCAGATTTGAGTTGTCAGTCACCTCAAATAAGATTTCAAGTTCTTTTTCCCTGAAGAACATCTGGCTTTTTTAGTAAAAAGGCCATAGATGCTCAACAGTTTGACCTCAGACAGAAGGGAATTTTGGTTGGTTAAGTCTTAGTTAGAGTTACTTATAACTAAATTGAGTCAACTATATTTTCTTTCCTAAAGTTCTTTTACTCTGCAATCCTTTAAAATGGAAGAGACATTAATCTATAATGGAAAATTAAGCTCCTGTAAACTGGGTTTAGCAAAATCCATTAATGGCTCAGAGACAATGAAGTATAGTGCACTTTCTAAAAAAATAAATCAAAATATATACAACATAGTGTTGTATGCAATGGGCAAATGACTGGGACTTGTACATCTCAGATTCCTGGTTGCATGGTCTTCTGGGCCTCAGTTTTTAATTTCTAAAATGGTAATAAGCTTTTGAAAAATTAGTGTGAAAAGTAAATTAGAAAGTATGTCAAGAGTTTTTTTGGGGTGAGCGTGGATTCCGAAAAGTCCAAAGTCTTATTATTAGCCCTGTTTCTTTAATGTGTTCTGTAGTCTCTAGAAAGTTGCCCTCTAATTTTAAAAATCTGATTTTCAGTAAGATGGGGTTTAAATGTGTTTATTCTGTAGATAAAACAAACGAATCTGAATACTGACCTGTCAGATTTCTCTAATTATAGTTAAAAATTTAGAAGTATAACTACTTAAATACCTTCAAATCCTTTTTTTGGAGCCTTTCTAAATTTAGACACAAAGATAAAAACACAACAATTGTATTCTATAAAAAAATAAACTGCTGGTTTGTGGTTAGCAGATTAAAAAAAATCACTTCACTTTAAAAACCAAAAGTGCTAGTGAATAGTTTTAAGAAAAAATTTAAAGAAAAAGTAAAACCTCCAGAAAAGCTTCTGGCATTCCTAATTCTTTAACCAATTAAAAATAAAATAACTTCCTCAACCTACAAACACACACACGAGCAAGGATGTATTCATTCGAGTTCATTCACACTAAAACACACTTTTGGTGTCACCTGTGAAAAAGTATTTTCTATGATTATAAACACAATTAAGGGGGGAGGTAAAAACCCTTTTTGTATTAAAAATAAATCAACACCTATGTACATTCTAGCTTAAAATTGGGTGAAATCTTATATTATTATATATTATCTGGGTAAAGTGACAAGTATCTTAAACTTGCTCCATTCCTTGATTTGATGACTAATTGAAAAATAAAAACAAGGGAAACAAGGTCCAAAATAGTAAGTCCATTTCATTTCCCCACAAATCAAATTAAAACAAACATTAACAAAAATGATTTTTTATCCTAAAGTTAAATGAAGAGTAATGGGCAGCAGGATTTCTTCCCATAACTACCAAATATTTCAAAACAAGCAGCTTATAGCCACGACCAAATATTACATGAGTTTAAACAGTTTTGTTGGACAAGCAATACCCCATCCTAAAAAACTGAGCAAGTTCAACCACTAATTTGTATCTATGCTCTAGTTTATATTTTTAAAAATCGAATCTTAAAATCCAGATTTTTAAAAAATCCATTAAAAGTAGCCTTTTTGTTTATCATCCATTTAAATCTCTCAAGAAGAACAAAGCCTAAATCGACCTCTTGATTTCACCGTCTGGGTCCAGGTGTTTACGCTGAGCCTCTGAAACAGGCAAAATGCATTCCATCCAGCACACCCCTCAAGTGTTTTTCATGCGTTTCCTAGTGACTAGAATACCAACACAGCAGACGGACCAACTTTTCCGGGGGTTGTTTTCGGGGTTTCACACTCACTCCCGCCTATTTCCACTACGAGGATAACTTCGGAAATAACTCC